CTTATTTTCATCATGTATTCAGTTCATTAGTTTTATGTTTATACACAGTTTAAGGTCACAATTTACAACAATTAAAGTTTTAAACAACAGCATGACAGTATTGTCTCATAGTTGAATTAAACACAAATTATTTTTTTTTACTTCTTACAATTCTGGATTTGCCCTTTGATAGAACAGAATAATATTGAAAGTGGGCTGGAGGGACTTTCCTTTATTAGCCAGGATGCAGCACTTTCTAACAACTATTAGAGTCTTGGTGCATTAATGAGTAAGTGTCTGATCCAGATCACAGTCTTAATAGGACGTGTTCATAGCTACTAATACCAGAATGCCCAGAGCCACCACAACCAATTAGCTTTATGCTTTGCAGATCAAACAGATTGATTCATGAAAGAAAGAATCATTGATAGTCATATGAGTAATCAAGTACCAATTATTTTGACGATTAAGATGCAATTCATTCAGAGTGATTTGATGTGAAATGGTGTGTTGTAGAGAAACTTACCTACTCTTCATTTCTTTACAATGGTGGGGAAAGGGCCTGATTGGCCTGATTTGTGGCAGAGGTGATGCATGTCAAGACGGTACCAAGACAATGTATTTTTTTAGATTTACCACTATTTCATTATTAAGAATATTACATATAAAACTCTAGAGACACCAATAGGTTCACTGGTAATTTTGGAGGGTAAATAAAATGGCTTTACTTGTGGAATTCATGGAATTCCCCTTTTAACTGAATGGAAGGCCAGTAGGAGAACATGAATTATCATTGTTCAAATTACAAACTAATTATTGCTGATTGAAATTTGAGTCTAATGTCATACTATCAGTCTACAGTATTGCATGTGAACCTTTTTTGCTCTGAAGCTTCAAAGGAAGGAATTGTACTGTAACATGCATTTGTTTTTGGTCAAACTCATGAAGTCATCAGCTATTTAGTACAGTGAGACAGACATCAAGGGTCATCTATACCAAACTTCTTTCGTCAGTGTTTAGCAAAAAATTCCCCAAAGAGTGTATCACTGAGTGATGGCCCCTCTAGAAGAGGCTTGAGGATGAAGAAGGAGAGTGGGATCAGGTGGGAGTGTGGAGGTAAAGATTGGTTTTAGTGTGTTTAAACATGCCTGCATTGTTATGTCTGCAGTGCCTTTGATGTTGTCCAAACCTCTAACTAAGTGGCGCTCATTTTCTCCATCTCGGAGATGCCGAATCATTTCCAGATTGCGGCATGATGCCAGAATGGAATTGTTGTCACTCATAATGTTTGAGAGCAGGCAAAGGCAGAATGCATCCTAGTTTGTTACAAAGGCATATTTCAAATTAGACTGAATAGTTGTCCGAAACTTTGTTGTATTTTCCGCCAGTACCTTAGCTGTGGAATTTGATATATATATGAGAAACACCTTTTGTGTCAGAACATTGACTGTTCCAATGCAATTTCCAGTTTCGTTTGCAGGAATTGAGGAGGAATTGAAATGAAATTGACCTCAATTCTAATAAACCCACGCGCATTTACCCTCAAGACAACAGGAGTAGATACAGAGGTTTTAAAGACCACTGTGGAATTTTTGCTAATCTCACTTTCACTCAGACAGGAAATGGACTTTTTTTCTCAGTTACAGTAATCCTAAGCACAAGCAAATCGGCTTCTCGCACAAAAATATTGTACCAATTTGTGCACTTGAGGTCATTTGAGACTCTTTCAATTGGACAAGAAAAAATAAGGAAAATGCACTTTTTTCAGTTTGGTTCTATAAACTAAATTCTTCTCCTTCCCTACATTTGAGCAGCGTTGTGCTTCTTTCTGCAGACACTTTGTGCAGTGCCTTGTCCCCATCTTTACCTTGTTGATTGAACAAGTGTGGGCAGCTTTGAAAGCTGATGACTAACTTTGTTCTCCCACAGACTGACTGATACTCAGATACTCAGACCACACAGCTCAAAACCAAGTGCCCGGGACTCAAAATGTTCTATCTTTCTGGTGTCTGTGTGCAAGCTATGGTAGCACCTGGGAGGCAATATTAGTCACAACCTTCCCCATCAATGATAATAATACATCTCACATAACAGAAAAAAAGAACTTTAATTGTGATTACTGTGTGAGACATACTTTAGTCTTTTTGGACTTCGGTAAAAAGAAAAACTGAACTGAATTACATTTATGGCTGTAGCAATAACTCTATTAAACTCAGTGATTTGATTTTTAAAAATCACTTAAAATTTCTGTTCCAAAAGAATTTGCAAGTTGCACGACAATACATATTTTAAATTCTCTTACCAATTTCCCTTTGCAGTAAGAAAGAGTTTGATGTACACCCATTTATGCACATTTTCCCCTTTTTTTGTAAACAAAACTTTACTGTACAGCTCAGTGCACTTGGAGAAGCACTAACTACTAATTGGGTGGGTGAGTCACTGGGTGGGGAATGGAGGGCTATCTAGGGGTTAAACATGATTTTCTGATGATAGGGCCAATACTTACACAGAGTTTACTGCTTGAAAGCCCACTTTTAAGTTCTTTTTTAAAAGCTTCCTTGTTTATCCTTTTCTTAATTAAAAATTTTGGAATCTTTGACAAGCTATTCATTTGTTTGTATAGTTAAGTCATTTTGCATTTTTTGGCCTATTTTTGAAACTCTATTACTAATATAATCAATAGTGACACTTCTAATTACATTGAATAGCATGTCTACAGCCACTTATGACTTTGGTAAATCAGATAGGAGGTACACATCTTCAGAGGGTAGTCATGAGAAGCTTTAGCACATTCAGCCTCTTTAATGGCTCTATAAAAAAGAAAAAATCTATTCACTCAAAATGATTGCTCCCCATTCAAGTGGGGGGTGTGCAAACAACTTGCGTGTAAAATGTATCCATGCTCAAATAGGAGATTAAAGATGTGACTCTCAAAGCGGCTCTCTGTTCCCAAAAGGACCTCTAATTTCCGCATCAAAAAAGCTACTTACATTTTTAAAACCAAAGAATACATTACACTGCAAAGTGTTTCATCTGCATTGTAAGTGATTTGAAGGGCCAGTGGGTCATGGTGTTCCTCGGTGCAATAGAGCCATCATTAATTTCCTAGTGATCCCGTCAAAAGCCGTCTTTTATTGAAAGGCGGATTCTTGTTCAAACACAGGATAAAAGGAAACGACGTTATGCTAATAGATTTCGTTCGATTGCAAAATGAGATTACATGTAGTGAATGGCACACTGCTCTGATATCTAATTGGAATTTTGCTTTGAAGTCATATTGACCAAAAGATCACTATGTTGCTTGTACTTTGTGTGCACAAACTGCTTTGTATCTCTTAACTACAGAAATATAATTATCTTAAGTTGGTGGGGGATGGGGCATGCTTAAATAGAAGTAGGTTGATAATTATATGTTTAGAAGTACACGTATTTAATCTCAGAGAGGCTGTGTAAGAAAGAACTGAACATGGAAAACCACTTCAAGAGCTGCTAATTGCTTTAAGGAAGGGAAAGACGTCAAGAAACATCAATATAAAATTGTGCAGCCATTATGTTTCAAGGACATAGCATACAACCCTCAATCCTTTGAACAAGCCCTTTTAGGGTCTGTGTTCTCCACACACTGAGCAGCATACACTGACTGATATTTTAAATGAGACATAAGTTGTTACTCTATTGAGAAACCTAACTGTGGGGTTATTTTCCAGCTTATAAATAAAAAAATAAAATCTTAAAGTTTAGTTTTAAGATTTTTAAATGTACTCTTTCTTGTGTAAGTAACCTTTTAAACATTATCCATACTTCACATAAAGGTGACAAAAATGCTAACCACTTTTGGTTACCTTAAAGAACCTTTCAGTGGATGGTTCTTTAGATAACCATTTTTGAAAAAGGGGTTACGTGAGTGTGAGAAACTTTTTTAAAGTTTAAAGAACACCCACTTAAAGGTTTTGGGAAGAACCTTAAACTGACAAAGGTACTTTAAACCTTTAAAAAGTTCTTCATGCTCACAAACCTCTTATTTAAATATGTTTTTTGGCAAACCAAAGTAGTTCTTCTGTGCCATCACTTGAAGAATTCTTTATAGCACCCTTTTTTAAGAGTGTAGACGAACCACTTTTGGTTCCCTAAAGAACCCCTCAATGGATGACTCTTTAGAAATACATTTTGTAAATGAGATGTGTAATAATGGAAAAAAAACTTTTTAAACTTTAAAGAAAGTGGCTCTTCTATGACTTTGCTAGAATAACCCTTGTGGCACCTTTTTAACAAGGAGAGAAGAGTTGAGAAAGTCATCAGTTTGATCTTTGACCTCTCTTATGCACATACTGTTGAAATCCTACAGCAGACTTTTTTGAGCAGTGTGATCAGGTATGGATGGAGGAGAGTGGTGAAAGCATGTGTTTTATGCGCCTCAGTAGATGAGAAGAGACTGGCAGGGAATGATAAGGCATTCACTTTGTAAAACAGCAGGGGGTCGAAGACTCCACTATCTTCGTCCTTTGCTGCCGACTTCGCAAAAAAAGAAAAGGAATAACTTTTTCATGAATATGTACGCAAGCTTGAAAAACAGCATGTCTGCCAGATTGCCAAATAAACATGCTCTCTCTGACTTTTTCATTCTTAGATTTTGTCTCCCTGTCTCACACATACACAGTTAAGACAAAAAAAAGCCTAGCAGTTAGAAGACTGTCCAAGAACTGTGGCTGCTTCTAACATTGTAACTGCTGCAACATATCATGTGTCAAACAGCATGCTGTTAGCATTAGCAATAACTGGCACTCACATAAGTTATTGCAAGCCATTTGTAAACAGAAACATGAAAGCAATCAAGCCCCCATGCAGCCTTTCTTGATCTTCAAAGGACTATCGATCAAATGGACCCTCCTCACATTGATTCTCTCAGCCAAAGATATTGGAGCAAAATGTATACAACATCCAGCACTCTCATGTTTTGCCGCAAGCCACACTGTTCAACTGACTGTTAAATTTTTTGGTGTGTTTGTGTGTGTGTGTTGCAGGCTAACAAAGTGTCAGTGGTACAGCAACCTCATGGGATGCACCCGCTCACGTCGCTTCTGCCCTACAGCAACGAACATTTCAACCCCAGCCCTCCGCACCTGCCAACAGACATGAGCCAGAAGCCAGGTATGGGTGCCTCTGATAGTGTGTGTCTGTGCATTCTTTCATGCCCCACTGTCCAAACAGATAAGTGGGTATATGGTTTAATAGAGAAATAATTCCCACTCTTGGGAGACTTCAGCTTCAGCTGTTTTAATAGTGATCAGATTGTTTATTATAAAACTGGCTGTAGCTGTAAGCTCTGATTGGCTGGACCACATTCAAAGCTGCTGTAAAATACTTAAAATTATGTATTTTCAGAATGGCACAACCTTCTAAGAGTTGGTGAGTTTGATCTCTGGTGATGTCACAGCCATCCTTGGCCGCTCTAAAAGAATGTAATTGGCCTCACTCACTGTTTACCTAGCATGATGCAAGCCAATGCAGACATCTCTTATCTGACAAAACATAACTGGCAATTAGTTTTTTCCTCAAAGTGTGTTGTTATCCAGAGATGTTGCATTGGCACATGCTATCCCACCTTGGCAACATCATGTGATAGGAGAGAGACCCAGCTAGCAGCAGAATTAGTAGTGACTAAACTGGGGAGACAAAGGGGTAAAAATAAAAATTAAATAAAAATACTTAATATACACATACAAAACTGCACACACTAATTGAATAATAATGTGCTGAATAAATTTAATTTGGCATAATTTGATATGTCTCATTTAAATGATATGCTCTTGATGGAATAATTCTTGACCTTAATAATGCCTGAAGTCCATAGCCTTGCATTCTTAGCAAAAAGGCCCCTGTAAAGTGGCAAAAAAGTTCTTTGACTTGCAACAATAGTGGAACCCTTTTTGGTGCTGTTTATAACCAAAGCCTTTACTAAAGAACCCTTGCAGAACGACTTTTTTGTCAAAGGTGATCTGTTTAAAAATGATAATGATATTGTACATGGGACAATTAGAAATAGTAATGAATTAAAGAATTTACTAAACTTGTGTGTATTTGATTTATGATTGTATTTTGTTGTAGTTAGACATAATTAAGGAGGTTTCATTACAGCCACAATTAGAAGCAGTCCAGACAGACCTTTATATCTTCATATAACCTTTAATTACCAGTTCAGCTATCTTAAAGGTAGGATTTGTTTCTTGTAAATTATATTTTATATTTTATATTTTTGCCTATCAAAGCATATGTTGCTCCAGCCTGCTCTGTCTCTCTCTGTTTTTGCTTTCGTGTCCCAAATATCACATTGCCATTTTGTTTTTCTATATTTGTTTTACCATTTTTCCCTCTCGTTTCCCTCTCATGTCCCCCACTGACATTTTCATATACAATCAAAGGAGAAGTATATTACTGATGTAGGCAACCACCATGGTTGACCTTGGAAAGTTTAATGGAAAGCCTTTGATTTTCTGCAGAGTCAGAGACCAGAGATGGTCACACAGACAAGAAACAAGTTTTTTTGACCCCCAGCCCTGGTACAACAGCAAGATGATTCAAATGGCCAAATCACGAAATGCTTACTTGAATCAGAAAATTCTTCAAAAATCTGAAGAGCATAATAGCTTTGCCCAGCTCAAGAGGAGGAATGTGAGTACCCACAATTCTCTGGTTTTGGTTCTAATCCATGGTGAACAGCTTGTTAGTGTGGAGCACCTAACCACTGAGCCTCAGCCATCCCAAATGAATGGCTACTCCAGTGCTCCATAGTAGCAGAAACATTTTCAGAGCAGAAGACAGTTCACCTGTTGAAATACGAATATTATAGCTTGTAATGCTAAACATGAAAGTTGACTTACAGGAAGTCCTTCAGTAAAAAGAGCCAATCACCTTGTTGATAAAGGTATAACCAGGAAAAAGCCCAGGTTTTCGTGGTCTTACATTGATGTAAGCACAGATTTAGGGCACTGCTATCTTTGTCACAGTTGGGGAAGTTGTCACAGTTGTGAAACAGGGGAAATGTAAAACAATTGGTAAAAATAAATTAATGAAAAAGATACTATACAGTTGAAAGTTGCTGTGGTTTGCAGGCCCTTTATATTTGGTTTAAATCTACTTGCAGATGTTTAGTGCTCTAGATGTACTGATGATGTCCAAGATACACTCAGAAAAGTGTATTATGAAGTAATTCCCTATAGAATTAAATCACCCTTAGTAGTAGTAATCTCAGTACACAGTATTAGTGAAGGGGCCCGGGCACCATAAGGTTAGCCTGGAGTGCAGTGGCTGCAGCCCGGAGGCACCCTCACTCCCACAGGGAGCCTCCAGCATTCCAGCAATGCTTGAAGTGGTGCCGGGCTCACCACTGCACGAGCCATCCCACACACACATGGGAACACAAGCGCACGCACATGTAGACACACGAGCTGGAAGCAATTAGAGTGACAGTCACACACAAAACTAACTCTACTGCACAGGCAGCTCTGCTCAACAGGCATGCAGTGCTAATAATGCAGGGACATAAGACTAGTCTAATCACACAATCACCACAGAGAGGAAAGTGAACAAAGTTATCTACAGGGAAGGGATCAGGGGGCTGCATTTAACACACTGAAAATAAGAAATGCATTGAATTTACCTAAAACAAATGTGTGCTATATATATTTACACATTAATAAATGTATTACACCAACACAATTATTGCCAAAATCATAATGTACACGATTGAATGAAATAAATTCACAATATCATTTTTGTAGACTGCTACTCATCCATATACAGAATTATCGGTCAGATGCTTTTCCTGAGTGGTTTGGCTTTTGGGCTAAAAACTACATGTTACAGACACATACCATCAGACTACATTAAATTTGAGTGTATAAACATTGTGCATATGCAGTAGACAGTGAATGCAGGTGATGTTTTAAAGATTAAATTTGTGGTCTTTTTGTTGTAAAAACCTCAATCAGTGTTGTTAAAACTACAATAAAAAACTGTTACAAAAGCAACTTTTGTTACGGTTTTACATTAGCCTGTCCTGATCATGACGTGTTTTCCTTGATTGAAAAATAAATAATTGTGATTAACAGTTTAACTGTGCTTTTTTTGTTTATCATATGCAACTATTGAATGAAAAGCCTAATGTGATCAAATTGGCTAATGTCTTGCTTGTTATCTCTCTGTAGTAGCACCCAACTGATGACAGAAACAGATCAAGCTCAAATGAACAAACACTACACATCACTGGCCTCTAAACATGTTATAGCACTAGTTAGATAAAAGATAAAAGTTCTGTTGTTTTTGTAAGACCTCATGATAATGTGTTTTCATGCAGGAAAATAGTACCCAAAGAAACTTATTTTGGACAGTAAATAAAACTGCAATATCTGTGACCCCTAGTTCCTATCACAACCACTGTAAGGTAAATCTGAGTTGGTAAGTTTCTCCAGAAGGGCACATTTCACATGAAACCAGTCTGATGACTGGTTACATCTCAATGATTGACTTTAAAAATCATTGGAATTCCTCTTTTTTAAATATTTTTTAACATGATTGCTATTAACTGTACAGCTAGAATAGGCTCCAGCAACCTTCCGTAACCCAGAAGGATAAGCGGTTTAGAAAATGTGTGTGTGTGCGTGCTATTAACTCTGGAAAATTGCGGTCAGGTTAAATAAATGCAATAAGGTGCATGTAATAATTGAGGCAGGCCTAGTTTTACATGGAATGTCAGCAAAAGAAGAGTAGCTACCTGTCCATCGGTGTAGCCATGTACTGAGGCACAGGTATTGTCTTTCCCATTGTGTGTGGTCCAGTAGGCAGGGCGTGAAACGTTCTGTTTTTTTTTTTTTTGTTGTTGTTGTTTGTTTTTAGTGCAGTTTTTCTGCGTGTGTCACGAGAGCCACAGCTGGAATTCTCCTGCCAAGCTTCTGTTGGCACTCCTGTCTGTAGACTACAGTGACCATCCCTGGGGCTCTTTGACTCACCTGTAATGAGAGGCTTTTTGCCCGGTCTTCCTTGACTATGTCTCCGTTTTGTGTAGGGATATGTTTGTGTATGTTTAGAGACTATTTAGGTTGTAATAATGATGAAAAACACTGAATTGACTTAATTTAAATCACAAAAAATCATATTTTTTGTCTTTCAGTTTACTTACTTTTGCCAATTAATATGTTGATGTACAGTACTTTGCAAAAGCCAGAGAGCACCCTTAATTTGATTTTCAGACAAAATGGCTAGTTTTTTTTGTTAGCACCAGGAAAAAAGCAGAAGACATATACTTAACAGAAATTTACACAGAAGCCTTTAGTTGTTTATTATTATTATTATTTTATTTTTCATTTATTTTTTATTTTGTGTCCACCCTTTGCCTTTATTACAGATTGCTTTCTTTTCTGACAACTTGTTTTTTTGAAGGGCCAAAGTTTAGTTTTAGAAATTGCTTTTCTCACTCCAAATCTCAGTTCAGTTTCAGTTTTCTAGCACAGATTTTCTTCTTTTTTGGCGATTTCCCTTTCTGACTAATGGCTTCTTGACCACTATACAGGCTCTGATAATGTTGATTTTTTGAACTCCAGTTTTGGAAGTTGCTGTTTTTTTAACTTATTTTCAATTGACTCACTTTTCTTCGGCTTATGGGTTATCTTATATCTAATGTCCTCAGAAATAGTTCTTGAAAAATTAATAAATTGTGCTTAATGGCTGTTTTGACTGTAAATTAAATCAATGAAGGTTAGTCTCAGACGTTTACACTGTGGAAATAATTTGCAGATTCTAATCAAGTGTAACTTTTTATTGTGCATGGTCTTTACCTTTTTGTCTGTTTCTGTTTATCTGTTTCTTTCACTTTCCCACTTCTACGCATCTTGCCACTTAATGCATGTGCGTGTATGCGCATGTGGGTGTATGTGTGTGCGATCAGTCAGTTGAGACCAGACTCACCAACTGTGACCCAACACGCTTACAGGATGAGGCTGTGAAATGTGTTTTCAGTCAATGCAGTCATTACCGTATTGACAGTACATGAAGGTAAAGTACAGGGGGAAATGAAAACACTGAAAGTTTGAACCTCTGTTACTGTACTATTAGATGTTTGTTTTACTGTACTTGGCCATGTAGCACCTGTCATATTGATGGAGTTTTCTTTTGGGATACTGTCCAGTCATCTCAAGCTCACAGGCACTTTCACTTTCTCTGGTTTTGGCAACCAAAACATAGTCTGCTCTATACTGAAAGGTTATTTTAAGCCTGCCCATGTGTCATTTAAGAACCGTTCAACCTCAGTAGCTACCATTTTCAAGAATTTCCCTCTGTCTGAATTAGAAAGCACTTAAGATACCTGATACCACTGAATAATTTCATGAAAACTGTTTTATATATTTTTTTAAGTTACTTCATTTTCATCTACAGTAAAACTGCACTTTCATTTTGGATGTTGCTAACACAACAAAAGGTCTTATATAGATCATTATTAATATTTGCCCTTAAAGCTTGCATCTGTTTTTTGCACTCCTCTCAAATAGAAACACATTAGACTTGAGCAGACAGGAAGGTTTGAGCAGGTAGGAGGGGTTGAACGATGGGGACCAGGCATTTCTACAATATGAGGTAGAAAGGCTTTGTGGAGGGAGACAAAGACAGACAACTTGCAACTCAGACACATTCCATTTGAACAGATTTATAGAGGGCTGAATCCAGAAACAGGCCTGAAGCATTGGCAAATTACAGTCATCAAGTGGCATTCTTCTGTACAAACATAGGTTGCCTTCAGGTTACCCTTAAGTGCTAGGTGTATGCCGTTGACAAATGACTTCCTTTTGAAACACACAGAGATCCCTTTTTATTTTTTGAAGAGTTTTAGAAACAATGAAAAAATGGTTGAACAGTTTCAGAGCATTTTATCTGTTGTTCTTTGATTTGGCTTGGAGTTTCTAATTTTTTACTATCGCCCATCTGCTTAATTACAGAAAGATGGAGGCAATAGATGGTTCCTCAAAGTTGTAAACAAAGTTGTATACATTCTAGCGAGGACTAGTGCCAGTGCCAGTTGGAGGGTTTTTCACAAAGCAGGATTACTAAATTATTGATTACTGAATGTAGTCTGACAGGTTAAAACCTCTAGGTGTCTTATTAGGTGGTGATTTTACAACTTACACTATCATTCAAAAAGTTGTCATAGAAAATAACATTCAATAGTAGCTTACACAGTGTACATTCAAAACATTATGAACAATACCAAAACATAAACTGATGGTTTATTCACAATTTAGAGCATTTTGAGAACAAGACGTTTTGACATGGCACAAAAAGTGTTATTAAGCAATAATAAGTAAAAAGTAATTATCTATGGAAATGGTATTTCTTGTCATGAAATATAACTTTTTTTTTAAAGAAAATACATGTACACATAATACTCAAGTGTGGGAAGAAAGAGGCTGTTTTTCTTCTATGACTACCTGACCTACCTGAGAAGTGATTGACCTTTGAGATTAGCCAAGAATAATAGCAGGTTCCCAGACTGCTAATGATGTCTTTACTGGGGCAAGACTCCTTAGTTACCCCCCACCCCCACCTTCTCATCCTTGTGCCTTGCAGGCGTTCACAGGCATCAGTCCCAGGACCTCACCAGCTTCTACCCCCTGCCCCCAGGTGGAGTTGGCCAAATCACCCCATCCATGAGCTGGTAAGTTCCAAAAATTGCACTTTGCTCCACTGCTAATACATATATCCTGTGTCCATCCCAAAAGTGCACTGCCTTTTACAAGCGAACAGCTCTTCAGGACTTTCACATGAGAAATACACTACACATACCTCAGTGCAGTGCAAAACATGTTTTCCTCACAGTAAATTTTGTTGTATTGTTGATATTAATCATCTCACTAATTTTATATTGATTTTTGTCAAGTGGTTTATGTAGAGAATAAAGTACAAATGAGTGACATCTAAAATTAATTAATTAAAATTTCCACTTATAGAAGATTTTTACAGTTTTCTCTTTTGTGATAAAAAATCTTATATTGCAAAAAGCTGCAGGAACTGCTGAAACTGCATTATGTTTGCAGCTTAAGTAGAGTATTTGTCAGGTTTGTCAGCCCACTAAGGTGGTCAGTGGGCACACAAACAGAACCTGACCAGACCTCAGCAGGTTGCAAAATTGAAGTCAAATTCATTTTTCTATGAAAAATTATTATTCATTGTTTTTTACAGACTCTTGAAAATGTGTAATAGTCAGACAACATCTTAAAACATTATCTAGTTGTTGGCATACTAGAAAGCAGAGTGTACTTCCAGGGTGCAGTTGTTTTTACCTGACTATCTGAAATATTTCTTTGGACATGTGAGAGTAAAAAATAAATATATAAACCAGTTACTGCACACCTGCCATTAAGTTACTGCACACCTGCCGTATTCATTGTTATGTATGAATGTAGTGTAAAGAATGTAGAAATTCACAATTAACCTGAAAATGCACATCATGCTAAAATGGGTGCATGAGTGAAAGATGTAGTACAATTATTCATGGAGTTTGATTTTATTTGACATTTCTCATACATTTACAGTAGATAAATGACAGTAAAACAATTAGAAGGCTGAATCACAGTAACAGTTACAGGGGAATTTTTCACCATTCTGTAAACTTTAGTCATAAGGATTGTAAACAAAGTCACTCAGAGTGGTTTGATTTGAAATGCTCTATTCTAGAGAAACTTACAGAGTCAGCATGGTTCACAGCAGTGGTGATAGGGACACATTTGAAGTGTTTAAAGCCTTTAAAAGTTGTTTAACAGGAAGTTATTACATGAACAACTGCCTGATGACATTGATAGTTTTGAGGTAAGCTTTTGGCCTAAAATGTTTTTTTAAATACTTTCATGGCAGAGAGGTAAATAAAGATGTACTAAGGCAAAATAGTGCCACTGTTATCATTATCAACATTACTTATAAAACTCAGAAGACTTATGTAGGTTCACTGGTCATTTTGGATAGTCAAATGGCTATATTTCAGTTGTAGACATCTTGACCCGTGGTTCCACCACTGTAAAGAAATCTAAGTAAATATTGCATTTCCCATCAAACCACTCTGAATGACTGTTTACATCTATGATTTATTTATTCAGAAATTTTTGAAAAAAAAGGTGGAATTCCCCTTTAACGTGAATGTTTCATTTATGACTACAAACAGTTTGCTGTTTCCATAAAAGTGCAAAGAATAGCGGAAAATGCTTGCTTAATATTGTATCCCAGTGAGTTCAGTATCACTAAGGTTCTATTTTTTTAGAAATTCATTTGAACTTGTAACTTTGCATGCATTTGTCAGCAGTTTCTATAGTAACAATGTCTGTGAATGCATAAGGAAACTGTACCTTATATCTGGATATCTCTTATCCTTATAAGTTCATAATTTCTGCTAATAAGAGCTTACCTTGTTTTGTTACATTCTACCCCCCTGCAATTTCTTCTGGTCATCAGTTCCTGCTAAAAGAGAAGCTACTTAATTTTTACGGTTATCTCCAAGCTACTACTTACATATGTTCACCTTGTTTATAATAAACTCACAAGCAGTCTAATCATTCTGATGGGAGGAGGAAATGCTCATTCATATCCAGTGTGGGTCATTAGCCCATTACTCGGTATCCTTCAAAAGTGTGTCTGAACCTCACAATATAGTCTGACAGGAACATGTGCAGAAAATTATAAGTAAATGAAGAAGTCACATCTTCATAACCTTTTCCTAACAAGGTTCCTTGTTAAAAAAACTGATTCTGATCAAAATGTTCTGTTCTACACACAAGTCTGTGAAGTGGTTGTGTTCCAGTAGCTCTGTTAATGGTGGTAGAAGTGCCAGTGTCATTGGTTTAACTTCCTGGGAGCACACATACTGATTTAAAAAAGGTATACATTCCCTCTGTTGTATATAGATAAAACCGTTTGCTAAGTAAAGAAATTTGATTAGTTGTAAGACATTAGCCACAAACGTGCAGAATGATATTAGGGGACAAAATTGTCCAATGCATTTTGATTGACCCAGAGTGCCTATCTAGCCAAAACCTAAGTATAGATTCCTTATCTAAAGCTCAGGATGTGGGCTAGCTAAAGCACATTTGACCTTTTTTTGTTCAATCCATTGAACTGCTCAGGTCATCCTTCTGAAACTATTAGAAGTTCTCTAGTCAGGTCAGAAGTCCATTTAGCAGTGGCCAGAGGCTCAGTTCACCCCAATCCTTATCTTTCCTCCCCCACCCCACAATGACCTGCAGGCAAAGTCAGCCTGTGTATCCACTCTCTTCGTGTGGCTTCAGGCAGCCCTACTCCTCGAGTCTTCCCAGCAGCTCCTCCTACTCCAGGTACAGTACTGAGCAAAATCGGCCTGGGGCTGGGGGTTCACCCAGCCTGCATTGCTCCCAATGCCTGCCTGCTCTACCTGCTGCCCAGCCTAGCTTGCCCAAGCTTCTGCAATGTCTTTGTGTCCAAACTGCATCAATTTGATGAAATTGAAGAGTATCACCTAGATTTGTCCTAGAGTACATTCTTGCAATCATCAAGCATAGAATACAGATGTGACAGGTAGAGATTAGAAAATGTTGGAATATTGCTTTAATTACTGTTTAAACATTAAAGGTGGCAGGGTGCTGTTTCTGTACCAAAAACTCTAAAACACATTATCCTAGATCTAGACCAGTGCCAAATTTTTATAGTTCTAGGTGATCTCAAGGCCAGCAGCACAAGATCAGTATACTAACTTTTTCAGATCTGTGGTCATTAAAGCAGCTATCTATTGATACTTCAGAACATCTCAAATAAGATCTGTCAGTGGAATTCCACTTTTGAAAGAGAAGGAAGAAGTTGAAGAGTATTAATGCTAGTAAATTTGAATAAACAGGGTTTTTGGACTGCTTGTTGCTGTGTATAAGCCTCATGCTTTGTGTGCGGTCAGCTCCATGCCTTGTCTTGAGGTGGATGATGGGAAGAGGCATCCCTGCACCCAATGCTGCAGTTGCTGCAGGGCTGCAAAGTGCCTGCAATCCATTGTTGTGGCTTTTCCCATTATAAGTCGGCTCCATCATGAAATCCTTCCTTTGTAACCCAAAACCACATTTCTGTGAACAAATCACATTAATATACTTGCAAGAAGTAATAAAGCCAAGCTGGGGAAAATGGGTTATGTTTAAATGTCGCACATGTTCTGCTCATGAAAGTAGAACAAAGAAAAGAATAAACAATGCTTTTTCCTTTTTTTTTGAATTAACAAAAAGTAGGAAGATGATCAAACCATAATTTCTGTTTCAAAGTCAAACTTTCATTTATGATGGCATTTTTGTTTGCTCAACACAATTCCTATTATGGGTGTTTTCACATATAGTTCTTTTTAAATGAACCAAACCTTGTTCTGTTAAAGTGTAAATGAAAGGGAACCAACTGCAAATGACCTCTGCTTTTTGTGTTCACAATGTAAGTGAACTATGAAGAGGACTGAAAGACTATAAAGAGGACTTTCAGGTCCTTTTTAGCATTGATGAGATCTCAGACCACTTCTTGCTCAGACCATAGCTCCAATTCAGAACCCTTCCACACCACTCAGTGTTCACAAAAGTGGGCAGCATTCTCTGAATAAATCTAACCTTTCGGATGGCTAGAGGAACCAACAGACACTGCTGCTGCCCTTCTTGGGCGTGCTGAAACGACTGGCCGAAATTCGAAAATGACCCTGCGATTTGCGTTTGTCCACCCGGTGAAAATCTGCGTCAGCAGTGAAAAAAATGTGTCATTCACTCAGCGTACAGTGTGAAAGCAGCTTCAAACACTGCATTGCGTGCGTGCCTAACATCAGCCTTGATCATGGTAAAATCACACGGGCTCTCGCATACTATCGCTTTAATTTGTCAGCACTGCTGTCTTGTCGTGAGATCATGAGCAGGCTTTATCCTGAGTGGTAGCTTACAAATGATCCTTGTTGGTCTGTTTTTATCCGCTGAAGTGCTGGAAGACTGTGGCTGTGTGCATATGGTAAGCCTCGAGGTCTTTACCATGAAGCAAAAGCGGACTGGGGCTGTTTTGTTTTCACAATACACAAGTCACATGAGAGGTGGTCTGAGTTCGATTCATTTTTTTGGGCCGTTTAGAGGGGTCTGAGTTCGTTTGACGTGTTCACGTATGCCCAGAAAACCATGACCTCAGTGGTCCTCACTAAGACTCCAGACACTGAAATAGACCGTGTGTGAAAACGCCCTATAATTCAAATTATACTAGTCTTGGAAATGTAACAGCAGTGTAATATCTAAAACGGCTCTCTGAGATATTAGCTGTGATCAAGAGTATGTTTCACTTAACAGCAATATTCATTGTGCTTCTATTGCAAAACCAGCCATTTACAATGCAAGCAGAGTGCCATCTGCTGTTCACAACAGAGTGCGTAATGAGGACTGGGCTTACAACTTTAAGTGTGAGGACTTTCGGAGCTATTAATGGGAAACTCAAGCCATAGATTTTTGTCTGATTTATCTGGATATGACATGTTTATGTGTTTATAATAAATAAGGTTATGTTAATGTAAAGTTGATGTTTTTCTGAGTTTCTTTTTAATAGCTCTATAGACCAGGTCGTGTGTTCTTAATTTTGTAATAAATGAAATGACTTTGTTCTTCTTGTTTGTTTATTTTTGAAGGTTCTCTCACTCTCTGATGTTGGGGCCGTCTAGTATGCACCCTACAGGGATCCCACACCCAGCTATAGTGCCCCCATCGGGCAAACAAGAGCATGACCAGTTTGACAGGAACATGTATGCGTAAGTAGCTTTTACAGTATTTACTGCAAAATTTAAAAGGTTAAAGGTGCAGGGGGGAGGACTTTCATATTTAGCCAGCCAAGGACATGAAATTACATCACTATGCACACTTTGGAGTAAATCATGGGTGTCATGACCAATTATAGAGAGCCTCTATACAACAACAGAACTTGTATAGTGACTGCTTGGTAACATGTAACTCTCTTGATGTCAGCCCATTATTCAGTTATCTTATGTGGTTGAATTATTTTTACTAAATATTTGCCCGATGAAGCTTGTAACAGTTGAAAAGCTGCAGCAAATCTAATATGTGAGCTTGAAAAATCTTTATGCGAACATTTTCTATTCTTATTAAACTCTTATTATGTCTGAAACATTGAAAGAAATGTTTCTCCTGTATTGCAGTAAGCCTCATTCTGAGCCAAAGAGAGAAAGAGAGCCCAAGAAGCCAGTCATCAAGAAGCCTCTAAATGCCTTCATGCTTTATATGAAGGAGATGAGGGCAAAAGTCATTGCAGAATGCACTTTGAAGGAGAGCGCAGCAATCAATCAGATCCTGGGACGCAGGGTGAGGAAACTCTAAACACATACCTTATGACCATTTAGAGCTTTAGGCATTTAGGATATTCTTACTAATGCTGTACTGCACTATGTCTGATTTTATAGCCCAGAATAGTTGTAAAAATCCTTCAGAATGTATAGTCATTTGTGTATATAATTATTTATAAACACAAGGTCTTTGTTCTTTATGAAGTGCTAGTTCAATAGCTGGTCATATTAATAATTGCTGTTATTTTATTCGATGATAACTTATACAGTGTAGATTAGAATAATGTAAGTCAGACACCTGAAGGTATTTTAAGATGATTTGTTTTCAGTATTTTAAGTATTTTTGGGAACACCTAGAAGGTAATAATGTTTCGAATACAAGACATTCTAGATGTTAATTTTTATTGTAACTCATTCATCATGGACTCAAATACAGCTCTATTCTTCATTATAGACATAGACAAATTTGTTACAGCCTCCAACAAATTTGAAGCCTGTGAAATATTGGAAATATTGAATCATTTTATACATGAAACTTCAACAGTTTGTTAATTTGTTACTGGAAAAAAAATATTCCAAACTTTTGAACAATAGTGCACAAAATTAATTTGCTGAATTAACTTGATGACATTGGGCACATCATTTGCTCAAATATACTATATGTCAACGTAATCATTACATAGTTAACAATTATAAGTCAACTGAACTCAGTAAGAGACCTCCCAGTATGAGACTTCATTTATATTGTGTGTGTGTATGTGTTCTGCAGTGGCATGCTCTGACTCGTGAGGAACAGGCTAAGTACTACGAGCTTGCCAGGAAAGAGCGGCAGCTCCATATGCAACTCTATCCCAGCTGGTCTGCCCGAGACAACTATGTGAGTGCACACACATACTAATGACCTGTTATTTTAACTAACTCACTCATTCTGTTGTGTGCTGTCTGTTTCGGTCTGTTCATGTGTCAAACATTGCACAGATCATTATACAAATCAGTAGTATCATCCATGCTTCCAATGTTGTATGCATAATACTATAATAGGTGAAAATGAAGCAAATTTGACAAAAGGAAATAACAGTAATACTGCCAGAGTTTCTGATCACACAGTGCTGTTTCAGCCTCTGCCGTTGTTGTTAAATGCAGTACAGCACAAGCATATATTCAGAGAAAAAAATCACATCATTAACAGCTTATATTTGATGTAAAAAACATTTGTTTAATCACAGTGACAATAAGAGGTGACTGAAGTTTAAGACTGATTCTTATTCATTCATTTGCTATCTCACCTTGGTAGTTCAGGACAAAAGTTGATTGATATTTTGTAGGAGGGCTGAACGAAAGTGTTTGACCACAGGGCGCCTCTGTGAGGGCACCAGCTGGATATATGCCCATGTTCCACTCTGAGGATTAAACCATTTAAACTGCTGTCTACTTCTACTTGACAAATTCATGCTATACAAAGTTATATTGATTATAGGTCATGTTTTAAAATTTCTTTCTGGGTAACTACTACAGTGTCATCCTTTGCAGAAACCTGTCCTACGTCCTTGTGGAATTTAATTTAAATATATTTTTTTTACACCTATTTAACGGATGGAAGTGCAGAAAGCTAGAACTGGAGTTATGTTTGAAAGTATATGATTTTTTTTCATGGACACTTACACCATTTTAAAAGAGATAAAAATGCCAAGAACAAATATGAACAAATTTTATATGAGCAAAAATTAGACAGTGTTTACTGGATTCCTCGTGTGTACATGCCTTGGTAAAGCACATAACATTTGGTAAATCTAGTGCTAATTTCCAGCATTAGAATACAATCTGGACATTTTCAGTAGGGCTGAGGTTAAAATTTAAAAAATTTGACAATTGATAATTATATTCTGATTTATCATATTACTAGTATTTTCATTATTTAAAAAGTATATAACAGTTACATATACAGTATATCTAGGGCAGAACTCGCCATGCTGCTAAACACTTTTAGCAGAATAGGCTGTTATCTAGCATCTTGCTCTTTAAGTCATATTGGTGGTTAGCATTACTACTTGGTGGATCCGTTTTTTCCCACATTCAGAGTATTTGTTTAATACTAAAAGCATATCAGACTTAATGTGAAATTTATGGTGTGAAAAAAATCACATCCACTTATTTCATCCATAAAAATGGACTCATTGGTAAAAGACCTCATGAGGACTGAACAACAAAAAATGAATACTGAAATATACAGCTTCTAATGCAGTTTCCTTGTGTGGTAGCTCACCAGTGACATGCATTTGTGCTGTGGCTCACAGGGCAACTAACTGCTGTGTGTGTAAATTAAGTATATCCAGGACTGCTTTGGATAATAGATCAGACCATAGAACGCTCACTCATACAAAAAGAAAAAAAAAAACTAATAAGTTCTACTTATCCATCTAATTGAAATCGAGAGCCTCTTGAGACATTTTAGAGCCTCACTCTTACATAGACGCAGAAAAATAACTCTCAACACTCCTTGTTTATCGTCCACAGTGTTATCGTTGACAGTGTTTGGGGGTTTTGTGATGCAACTTCCTTTTTGAAAGATGTTGTCTTCCTGGCTGTCGTAATTAACAGCAACTAAAAATGCGTCAGAGATTGGTTTGATAAGGTACCCACATTATCTGAAGCGAGTGGCATCTGAACTTAAGGCTTCCTTAGCAATGATCCCGCAACTAATTTGAAATGATGGTTGAAAGATGATCTTGTCAGGCTTAAACCAAACAAGTACCTGTTCTGGCAGAGGATGAGGGGGAGAAAGTGTGACAGAGTTGTGGTCTACCCTCAGTGTTGTATCACAGACATGCAAACAGGAAGCGTACAGCGGATTCTGGAAAGAGGGGGTGGAAGATAGCAGAAAGATGAACTCCCACTTTCTCTTGCTTCTCCATTTAATAAAGACTGCCATATAGTGCTCTTTAAAAAGAGAAGGTTAGAATGAATTAACCCCTTTATGTCAAGAGAGCAGATATTGCTGTTTTTTGTTTTACGCTTCTCAGTGTTACAGCATTGATTGTGATATTGAAATGTAACAAAGCTACAATTCTAACAAAGCTAAAATTTCTAGATTTTTATTTGGTTTCTGTCACAAGGCACCATTTTGCGCAAGCAAACATATATTGTTACTCTAATCAGTAATCAATAATAAGCGCATGGTGATCTAAATTCAGTGAGCAGTGTTGTGTTTCTTTTATATGCAGTTGTATAGTTGCAGTTGTCTGCCCTGGTCAAATGACATGCTTTGTTGTTTTTCCAAGTGAAAATAATTTAACACATCTAGTTCCACATTCAATATCCCAAAGATGGACATTCATGTGCCCCAGTTTCTTTGGAGGTAGTTTTTAACGAGTTAAAAGAGACAGAGTCTCTGAATGTATTATCAATGAAATGTTAAGTGTACGTTACTTATCTTGAATAATTACCTGGCCATGATCCCAATCCACATAATCTAGCTTCAGTTGTCTGGGTAGACATTTCACACACTGCAGTCATGCCACATTTTCAGTTGTCTCTTGCACAAAGAACAATTGTCCTTTATCTGGCCTTTCTATGTCTTCTTCCCACAGGGCAAAAGAAAAAGGAGAAAAAGAGACAAGCAACAAGATTCTACCACAGGTACAACCATGCTTCAGTTTCATTGCATTTACAAGCTAATCAAACTTATTCTAAACTATTTAAAGTCAACCTGCAATCAAATTGACCTGTTTTACCTTGTTAGTTCATGTCCCTGGTCATACTAAGCACAATTCATCATATCATTTAGATACATTTTTATTTTCCTGTAATTTTCAGCCCACATCTAAAATGTTTTTATTACATCACCAAGCACCAGCAGGCGAGGAAAAATAATATTTACCACAAATGTAATATTTCACATCCCCCGCCCATCATTCCAGAGACGCTCGCTAATACTGCGTTTTACTCAGAAATATATTATGGTACGAATGATCTCATGCTCTTTTGATAAAAAGCTTTTAATGCAGTATTTAACAAAATGCAGAACATTTACATAAAAATCCCTGCACATTTGCAGGGATTTTTATGTAAATGTTCATCAGTTTAGACAAAAGTGTCTGTTTTCAGCATGTCAAAATTGATGCAATTTTCAGGAACATGGGATACTGACACTCTGAAGAGGATGCTACTAAGCTGATGGATTTAAAATGCATACTTCAAAGAAACGTAACGTTTAAAGACAAAATGTATCTTAAAATTTTGTTTTCATATTTGCTTCAGTTCCAGACTGACATACTAAGCAAAAGGCTATAGGATAACCGTAGTACTATATTACCCAAAAAAGAGAACTTCCAAGGGTTTTAAAATAAAAAGTATGCTCTCAGCATACCAGCAATCAACAGTGAAGTAAATATGTTTTTAGGTGAAACTTTCCTTTATGTTAATGTCCTGAAACCTTCGGCAAAAAGTCACAACTTAACTTGGATTTTAATGCCGATCCGTGTTTTTTCTGTCTATGAACGCTTCACTTCTCTGTCCTTGCCTTCTACTTCCCCCTTTCCCTCTGTTCCTCTCTTCCTCCTGCTCTTTTTTCTTTTCTTTGTGTACACGCATGCTGCCTTGTGCTCAGAACCCGGCTCCCCTAAGAAATGCCGAGCTCGCTTCGGCCTCAGCCAACAAACGGACTGGTGTGGCCCATGCAGGTGTGTACCTCTGCTCTCCTGTCATCCCTCTATCTGTCCAACCTTCCCCCTGTCTTTCATTTGCTGCTATGCACAGCTCTACATGCTATCCTTTCACTACACTGGAGTCACGCTAGGGGCCAAAACCAACTCTGTCACATCAATGTTTTTGTAAAGAAAAAGCCAAGTCAACAAGTCTACATGATCAAAATTTAAAATGAAAGCAGAACTCCTGTGTTTTTTTTTTTTATTTCATCTATATTGTATGATCAATTACCATGGACAGTAAGTTTGAAGCATTTCCTTGTACTTGCACCGGTCCGCTATTATAATTGTCTTTTGAATGAACAGGAGGCTGCGCTCACCTAAAGCTCGTAACTTGCAATTTTCTACCTCTGACTAGGAAAAAAACAAAAAAAAAACCTGGGAATTCCTACTCAGAAAGTTGGGGGGGGTATTCTCATCTCTGAGTTCAGCATACAACGTCATATTAACAAGGCTTCTCACAATGTGAATTGACATGAAAAAGTACCACTGCTTTACTTTTAAATGAGATTATAGTAATATTTGCTTAAGATCAATCAGCATACAGTATAATTTGTTGAATCTAACATTGATCATAAAGTTCAGTCTTTTGAGGTAAATATATCATGAACGTTAAAGGTACTAAAGGTGCTAACATCACTCGCTTTTCATAGACGTCCATGTTTTATTCCACTTTGTAGCTCAACACACGGAAGTTGAACATGATATAATTCTGAGCTCCAACTTTTCACTTCTGAGTTAAGTCAAACACAACGTGTGTACAAGACAAGGCACTGAAATTACTGCCTGTGATAATCGACCTTATGCTACAGATACAGCAGATAGTTTATTAATTTCTATCTATATAAAATTCTAAATAAAAACAGAGTATTCCTTGTATTACCATTTTGACACTATTCTGACTATGTTTGACACTATTTGAGACTGTTTATGTTTATGTACCAAAAAAATCTAAAATTGTCCTGTCTTACATTTAATCATTGTATCTAAAATAAGTAAAAAAAAAAAGTTATCCTAAAACATGCTGACTGTAGCACAAAAAGGATGAGAAGTTTTTCCGTTTTAAAATGTAGCTCAGGCCTATACTCTATAACATTGCTCTTAAAGAAGCCATCAATACTTTACTCACAGCAGAGTGAGCTTCAGCATTGTCAGCAGGACTATTCTTGCAAAGCCTGTTCTATATGTGTCTATGTGTCTCCCCCATCATCACGTCATGGAAACATCCGGACATGATACTTTCACACACAACAAGAAAAAAAGCAAGATGCTTGTGGTTTAGAAAGCTCCAGCAAACCCCTGAGACCAAACAACACCCAGAGCAGTTCTGTCAGAACTGCTGCACTTTTGATGCCATTCACACCTACGCATCTCCCCACAAACTCCATATCGCTCCCCACTCCCCCCTCTCTTGTCTGTCTCCTCTCTTGTTATCACAATGCGGTCAGCTTCAGATGCATTTGATGGCACATTTTGACATTTTTGGGGAGCGCTTATTGCGAGACGCGCCCATCTCTGCGGTGGCCAAAAGTGACTAACGTTCTTCTCTGAGATGCTTTCATGCGGAGGAGAGGCGCTGTGCGTTACTTTGATTTGTTCGAAACTCACCAAGGAGGGCTGTAGCAGCTGACACTTCTTGTTTTGTTGCCAGTGAAATGAAAGTATTTCCTGTTCTCCTCACTTTCACTATTGTAGTGTTTTAAGACGCAGCACCTTAACTGTTTAGCCTGTTGACTTTCTAACACCATTAATCCAACATTATAACTGATACACGAACATTCCTGCACAAATAAAAGTGTTAATGTATATGTCTGTGTGTTTGCCATGTGATGGATCAGCAACCTGCCTCCCGTTTAATGACCGCTGGGATAGGCTCCAGCACCTCTTGTGACCCAAGAGGATGAGCAGCTTAGATAACCAATGATGTATTTTGTTGAGCATAAAACATATATATATATATATATATATATATATATATATATATATATATGTGTGTGTGTTTTATGCTCATATTTGCTGATATAATATTTGTGTGTGTGCGCACTAAATCCTAAGTAGGAATCTATGGCTGCAGACCAGAAACCAACCATGTCAAAGGACAAATTAAAATATTTATTTAATTGTGTTGATCCTTAATCTTCTAAAGTAGTGGCAGTCTAGAGAAAGTTACCTTTATTATCTAAAATAAGTACTGTTTATTGGAACATTCCCTTCACTGTGCCATTAATGAGCATTTCAAAGATGCAAGCAAGAATGCAAGAATTACCTGCTGACTGCTTGAACAATATAATCCATGAATTAGCGAGCATTTAAGACTGTAGTTTTGGTTTCACTAAAAGAATTCATCACAACTGAAAGTGGTTTCAGATTTGAAACATGAGTTTATCTTTACAAAGCCATCTATTTACAAAGCCAGCTACCTATTTAAAATGTATAGGGGGGTACTACTTTTTTCATTTTTATAAGTATTTACACAATACTTCACAAGAACAGTATACTAATTAATTAGCATGCATAATGCTGGTGCTCTTATTTTTAGGGCTATATCCAAAGACAAGAACTTAAAACAGAGATCATGTCCCTCAAAAATTAATCAACTATGTAAAACAATGTAGCTATGTCATGTAGTGAAGAATTTAGATCTGCTGTCCAAAAGCTATTTCAGCTTGACATAAAGGGGGAACAAACTGTTTGCTTCCATGTCTATAATCAGCCCAATGTGTGGTTCCTTTGCATTAAGATGTTTTACTTACTTAACTCAATGGGTTTTGAAAAGAATATGCTTAAAAATCTTTTTGTATCTGCCTCAAATGCGGGAAATAATAACGCAGCTTGTTATATTAAATTGACTTTTTTGTGATTTCAAATACACCAATATCAGTTGGTACATCTGATTATGCAGGTGTTTGACCTTTTATTTTCTGTCTTTATGATGAAATGAGTGTACGTATTTGTGACGTTTTACATCCACGCTTTATTCACAGATAACTCTCTTGACTGTTCCTAGGAGGAAAAAGAAGTGCATTCGCTACCTTCAAGGAGGACAGTGCACCAGCCCCCATTCTTCCGATGGAAGTGCTATAGACTCGCCCTCCTCTCCTGTCCATCACCTGCCACAGCCCACCTCTCCTTCACACTGCCCCTCACTTTGCCTTACGTCACCAATCAGCAATCTCCATACAGCACAGAACAGAAAACACTCCAACACTCTGCCCTGTCCTCTCAGATCCAGTAAACTCTCTCTTGCCTTCAGCAGAGTTAAAACAGACAACTGTCCATAACCTCCAGCCAGGCTGCCCTGTACCCCAGGCCCACTAACATCAACACCCATCTGCCTCCATTCAAATCCACCTGCTCGTCATCCGCCAAGACCTTCACTAGAGACGGCATGGAATACAGATCAGACATCGGGAGCCTATACCAGCACCAAGCACAAAAGGAAAATGCTAACCGTGGACAGTCTTATATCCTGTCTAAGGTGTTTTGTGCTTTGGTTTGCCCTCTTCTTCCAAGTGGAGAAAGAGCAGCTATTCCTTTCTAATCAGTGAAGGCATTTTCTTTTATAATAGATTCCACAGGTGCTTCCCCACATGGCGAGTAAAAGTCAGAAAATGTTTTCAAATGATCAAGAGCAAGTTTTCTGTAAATGTTGTCATGACTACACATTACAGTTAATGGCAATGCATTATTGAATGAAAACCCTACAATGGGTGTTCAATCTTATCCTCAAAGAAGACAGTATGGCTGCAGGTTTTCACTCCAAACAAGCTGAAGTACACCTGATTCTACTTGTTTAATCAGTTGGTCTTAGCCTTCAAACATTTTATCAGGTGACCTTCTGCTTTGTTGGAGTGAAAACCTGCAGTCACACTGGCCCTCTAAGATTGGAAAAAGATTGGGCACTGCCCTACAACATCCAGGATCAACCTGTGTATCCAGAAAACTTATCCCAAGTCCTTCCATTTCCCTGGTTTGGCCTGTAAAACTTTCTTGAAAAACCAAATGCGTTCTATTTCAAGTGTTGTAAATCTGTTTTTTATAGATATGGAATTCTCTATATATAATTAAACTTTTATATGTTTTTATGTAAAAAAAAAAGAAAAAAATTGGTTGTTTTCATAGTCTTTCTGTTTTTCTTACATTAAAAAAGCCACTTTTGAAAATAGATTTTGTTCTATAGAGTTGAAATAGTGTGTAGTATGTCTGTCATTGATCCAAACACCACTGTGTAAAATGAAGTATGTGCATGTCTTTTCAGCATCAGAAATAGTCAGCAAAAAAAGAAAATGCTTCATGTCTGTGCTGTCAAACTGCTCTATATGCAAGCCAATCAGTATTCATTCAATGAATCTATTCTGACATGGAATAAAAGTGCAAGTTTCCCATGTTCAAATGGAGCGTTCATTTAAGTCAATATAATGTCCGAATATGGTTCTTCTGCTGCACTCAAACTACTGTGCTTGTTCACCTCATATACAGCAGAGGGAGCTGTTCTACATGACTGCTCCTTTTATCTACTCTATGTATTTAAAAAAGAAAAAAAAATCAGTATTCATGACCGACAATACACGCAAAGTAAACTTAGACATTTTTTCCTCTCTATTTTAATACAAGTGGATTTGTTATTTTTCTTTGGTGGAACATCATTTTGATTACATTAAACTATTTTGGAAATCTGTATTGAGTATGTTGTCTCATTAAGACACAGTCAACACTGATACCTGTGATTAAATCTAGTGAGCCAGATCAATATACTTAAAGGACATCCTATAGTGGTACTAGCATGACAGAGTCCTATCTACATCCTATAGCAGTAAAAATCGTAATATAAATTTCACCAATTGAACTACTTTGAACATTAGACAGGATGTTGTGGCCTAGATTTTGTCCATTTCCATGCAAAACAGCTTGTGGCAAAAAAAATAATAATAATAATAAATTCACTCCAGAATCCTCACAACTTGACCATTGGTGCTGTTTGAATTACAAAGTGGACCACGGATCAGTAGCAGGTACTAATGCAGTGTGTGGTTTGCTGGGAAGTAAATGAAGCGAAGAGCTGCAAGAATTATTCAAATTTCTTGCCTTTAAGCACAGTTTGTGTTACTTTCTTCAAAGTGCATTCTGATTTATATTTTCAAATAAGTGTTCATTTGCCAGGTCTGAAAGATTAAACAAGAGGTACAGTAGCAACAAATCTGTCAAAGCAACAGGAAACACAAGCACATTTTGTTGGTTTTATTTTCAGAATTTAATGATTAATATTCCTAAGCTTCATTGTAAGAGCAGAACTAAGAAAATGTGTCCAATTCTTTACAATGATAATAGGCAAAGTAAATGTCCAAGCTGCAAGAAAACACATTTTACTTCTTAAACAAGTACTTCCAGTCCACAGGACAAGTTGAAAATTTGTGTCACCTCCCAGACTTCCCACAACTTTTTATTCTTTCTTTTTTCAGTATGAGTTATGAGAAGACAGTATGTATGAGGCTGCATTTATAAAAGTTACCATTGAGATTTTAACAAGTTCATTTGTCAAAAATCTACTTGGTTGCCTCATAAAGAAAACAGCTCTAGTTTAAAAAACAAACACAAACAAAAAATCTTTTTCTAGCGGCAAGGACTATTTCTGCTGAATATATGAAGAGAAATAAAAACAGGAAAGAATTTAAATTATACTTTTTTTCTGCACCACACAAGCAATGAAGATCATGCTATGAATACACAAGGGGTCTCATCCTATTGGTCTACAGGTGAATATCAACAAGTATGAACAGCGCAGTGCAACCAGTAAATCTGTTTTGGGGACAATCCTTACAGTGTGTTAGTGTCAAGCAGAGCTTCCTTATTTCTCTTCACACCACTGGTTCTCCTTGCGTACCTGAACAGAAAGAAGAGTGTGAGTTACACTGCATTTTAGACGACATGAAAGTACATCCAAATGTATGCATTTTGTTTTCTCTTTAGCTGATCATACCCGTATTTAAACTGTAAGGATGAGATAGTTTTCTCTAATGGTTAAATATCAAGAGTGGCCAAGTTTTGGGCAGCTTAAGTTTTAAGGAAACAAAATCTGATATCCATAAGGTATCAGGGAGGCATTCATGCACAATCACAAACACTGATTTATCAGACATAGTGACTGAGTCTGCTATGTACCTGAGCTTCCTCTTCCTCTGTGAAGTCATTTTTGATATTGAACGTCTTTCTGATCTCCTCTGGGGTTTTGCCTTTGATCATATTTGCGACTGTCTTGCAGGTGACATCTAGCAAGCCTTTGATGTCCAAATAATTCGCAGCCTAAACAAGGGAGGCAAAGATGAAAGTAAAGCAAGGGAAGTGTGGTTGATGAATCTATTATAAAATAATGCAAATAAAACCTACTTTCCGTCAGAAAGGATATAAACATATTCCTGTATCATATTCTGAGACTCAAATGACAAGCTTTACTAGTGTTTACTACTACTACTACTGCTACTACTACTACTAACAGGGCATTTATTCTACAGAGCATTGTTACATCACTACGCCAAAACAGGTATTGCATTATACGCAGGAGACAAACATGTCACTGGTTCCAAACTCAAGAAGCCCCATTAAACACAACATCCCCCTTTTACTACGATTACATAAAATATGCAGTCTGTGTTGCAAGGAAAAAAAATAAATAAATAAACACTAAACAACTGGTATGTCTATTCCCACAAAAGACCATTAAGTATCCCTGCTGCAAATGACTAATCTAATCCATCTCATTTTTGTTTTGAACCCACAAATAGTCAATGAAAAAAAGCCTAGGAGAAAAAAAATCTCAAAAACATATCTCCGCAACTAGCCACATAATGTCCACCTCCACTGTTACTTAAGGCTTTACTCCACTTGTGTCACAATTCCAGTGCTCATGGGCTAGAACACTGAAGACATCATTCAGCTTCACTAAACACCTGACTCAACTAATCAGCTATTATTTAAAAATAATTAAAATAATAATAAATAAATAAATAAATAAAATAAATAAATAATCATGACATGAGAATATGCAAAATGTTGACTTCAATCTACATTCTACAGATGTGCACCATAAACTAAGAGCATTAAAAAGTAAAAGAAGACTATGCACGCAACTTAAAAATTCAAACCCATAAGATGAACAGGAACAGATGAACTAATTGTTTTTCCATTAACATGTAACATCTAAAGCAGTGAGTTTAGAACAGTTCAAACACATCCCTCTAAATGTCTATATCAAAGATGTCAAGGAATATAATCAACAGACCAGAATTAGCTCAAAGAGTGTGCCCTGGTCCACTTTAAGGAACTCCTGATCCCACACAGGAATGTCATCTGTCCTCTTTTCTTTGTTCTCATCATCCTCAGGGGGTGGAGGGTCATCTTTGTGATGGGTGCACCACTGAATCACCTGTACACAAACAAAATGCACACGTAACGCTTGCAGCGATGTCACAATTACAGGATTAAACACAATGACTTGATAAATGAATTCTAATTTACCTACTTGATAAACTGAATGATTAGTTGGTAGTCTGCATGACAACACATTTAAATTCTTCTACTGTCTCCTCTTACAGTAAGGAAATTACCAGATCATTCAGTAACTAACATAACTGATACTGGGGGCCCCAAAATCAAAAGACTCTTTCCCTACTCTAACCCACTTGACCCAGCAAACCAGGAACTCGTTAATTAAATAAGCTGAATCATGTGTGCTAGAGGACAAACAGTCAATGTGTAGTGAAAAGATGAATCAAGTTTGAAAAGATCTTTCTTTACAGTTCATAAGGTCAAGGATAAAATCAACCAACAGCTGCAGCACTGAAGAGATGGGCCTAGGAAATCATTTTCATAATCATGGTGGCACTTATGAAAACAAAAACAAACATTCTTTATGCAGTCCAAAAACCTCATTAAAAAGCCTGAAAAAGAGGATGAGGCATACTTGGTTTCTCTCAGAGGTTAGAGGTCTTAAATCTTGTGTCCTGTAAGTGTCATGGATTTTGTAGTCACTAATAGATCACTTTAGCTGTTGATGTAACTGACTGAATATACTTAACAGTGATTACAAAATCCAGTTGGGTTCAAGATCTAGATTTGAAAACCTCTGCTTTAGATCACCACCATCAATGTTTGTTAAGGCAGGGGTTCCCAACCCCAGTCCTGGCAACACCATGCTGTGTAGCTGTGTACGTTCACTGGTCATTGTGATGTCTATATATGTGTGGAACACATCACAAGCCCTGGTCCCACCACCACCATTGTAAATACATCCAAGTTGGCAATTTCTCTACAATGCACTGTTTCACATCAAACCATTCTGAATTATGCTGAACTTTTCTGGAAAATCTCTGGAATTCTGCTTTATTTGCTTTTCAGAGTGTAACCTGTAAAGCTACAGTGCGCACATACGTCACCATGATGGTAGGTCAAGTCATACATGCCACCGCACTTTACGATTTAGCCAAACATTTCAGCAGGAACAAATATGGTATATGTAAATTTATTGATAACATGTCAATGTTAACAGACTTTAAGGCACAACGTTAGACACACCTTTTTGAGGATGGCTGCATTCACGTTGGGGAGAGGGACGGGATCATCATCCCCTTCATCATCCATACCCAAATCTGGTAAAACAAAGCAGACAAGTTTTTAAGAGTATAAGTGATCATTCGAATTTACCGATATTGTTGTGTCTATTATTTTAATTACAACTAGATGACAATCTACGTAAGTAACAGAGCAAAAAAATTAATTAAGCTAACCTAACTAGCTTACCTTCTAGCATCGTCTTTATGGTTACAGACTGCTTGGCGATTTCAACATCCACCTCAAACATCTCTCCGTCGGAGCTTTGCAGTTTAATTGTTGGCATCTATAACGGACTACATTTTAATACAGACAACCAACAATCACGTGTGACAGTTGATTAGCTAAGATTCATATTTTAAACAGACAAACTGCCAACATGGAATTGAGCTAGCTACGTTAACGTTAGTCCAGTTAGCTCGCTACGTTACCTAGATAACGTTAGCTATTTACTGGTCCTATGGCAAACAAGAAATGTACCAGCGAAATGAGGCCATTGTTATCCAGAAAATACTGCTATCGCTCTACTGCTTTCTCATTAACTTAACTAGCAAATTAACTAGCTAGGTATCCTACAGGCACCAAACGAATACGCACAAACCGAACAAGCTGCGAGTTTAGTTAGCTATCTATCCTTAGCGGCTTGTTAGCTAGCTAGCTGCTGCAAGTCGACACTATTTACATAGCTAGCAAGCATGACTAACAAGACGCTAAAATACAATGTAGAGCAGTTATTCACAAACTCCAAGTACAGTTGCACCATATGACAGGTAAACAGATATGGGTCTAGTGTTAATTATTGAGCTGGTCAGAACCAACCAACCTATTTCTAACAGGCTAGACTTGTTAGTAACGTTAGCCAATGTTGCTAGCTAGCTGACTTGGTAATATCAAGGCCTCGCTTAGCAACCATTAGCTAGCTACATCCCAAGATCATTTTCCCTTAAACTGACACAGATATAATCATATTTTCAATACAGAGTGGTTCTGCCAAGACTAAGACATGGTATTCAAAAGCTATCATGTACTCACAGTGACACTGTTGCTGCCCAAATTAAAGACAAGATTTGAACG